TTATTTTTTATTTAAATTTTTTCTTATTTTTTCTGATTATCTATTCGCTCTCAAAAATAATTCTAAAAATAATATTTTTGTACTTTCATTAATCCATATCCTGCTTATGCTTTTTCTCTCTTCAGATTGTAAACGATCGACAATTTGCGATACACACGGCACAGCTTCGGCACCTGAGGCAATGCCATCAGAAGACTGCAACGAGGATTGGTCCTCAACGGCGCCGCAAACTGGCAATCGTTCGCCACTGATGAGAAGCTGCTCCACACCAGCTGTTTATGGTAAGTCTATAAAATATTTATAAATATACGTATACATGTCTACATACATGTTTAAGTACAGCTAAAAACTCGATAAACTCAGTTAAAATCATTAAAAGCTAACTGATTTGCATTATTATTGCTTCTTTACACAAATTTATACCGAGTATTTCCTACCGATATTTCATTTTACTTATTTACTAGTTCATATAGTATATGTATGAGTATTTGACACTTGTGTCAAATAACTTTCTGTTAGGCATTTTAGCCGCTCACTCGCAGCTGAGTAAGCCAGCATTTATTTATGCAAGTTTTTAACATTCAAAAATACACAGATGCGCATATATGACAAGCGTTACGTGCGCTGAATGCAAATTGCACAAAAAAATATTTGCATAACTGAGGGTAAAAATGATAACCGATATCAGGCACAAACAAGTCGGAGCAATTTAGCGAACTTGTTTAGCAGCTTTTTTGTGAAAATCACAGCTTTTGTCACGCGTTCAATCGTGTTAATGTGTATGCGGCTGTGCATGTGCTTGTTTATTTATATATACATAGATGTATGTATGTATGTATATATGAGTGTGTGTATATACTTAGGCCTTTATTTAGTTACATGTATTTGCATGCGTTTTAAATGAATATTTATTTCCTCATCAACGCCCTGGCATGCAGCAACAGATAGCTTGAACTGTTTATAAGTAAATATGATGTATGTGGTTATGTATACCACATTTACAGCTATAAAATAATAAAAATCTGTTGGTGATAGGTTGGCGCACAAAACAATTGCTTTGACATAAAAAACCGAGCTTCTTGGTGGTTTGGCGAGTGATTTACATACATACTCATACACACATAAATACATAGAAACACTCATACAAATATACTTTATATATACGAATATGCTAACGACAAGTAAATTGCGACCAGTAGCCGTCAATTAAAAGCATATAAAACGCACACAACCTCAGCAACAACAACAAATCAAAATGGCAGCAGCGGTTTCAGCTTCAATTGCGTTCCGGCGCACGCAAATTATCGCCAATAATGCAATTTAAAATTACAATTACTTGATTTTTACATTTTTTTCGCGCTTCTCACTAGTTATTTGCACCGCGCTCACATACATATGTATACATATATGTATGTATGTACATAAAGCCATACACACATATTTGAATATTCGGTGTTAATGCAGAGTGTAGCGTGTTTACTGCAACGAGCACGTGCTGCATGCACGCCAAATTCCAACGTCACCACCACCAACAACAACAACACCAGCGCCACATAGCGACAGTGCAGTTGCCAACAGACATGCAGTTGCTCATACGCCGTGTAGCACCGCTTTGGCACTTCGGCAAAAGGCAATAATTCCACTTCACCGCTTGTTGTAATCATGCAAATTATTTCTATTTTCACATGCATGCAAAACTATAAGCGCATGCTAATTAAATAGCTTACCAGTTGTTGTTATTGCTGTTTTTGCATTATCACCTTCACAAAGCGGCGTGAAAACAACAGAATAATTTGCAATTTCTGCGTTACACAAAGAGCACAACTTCCGTAGACAGTGTAATATTTACACTTGCACTACGAAGCGGCCAATAAGTAATTCATAATATATTTGTGCGTGTGCTTGTGTGCTTGCTCATAATTCTCAAAATATGTATTATAAGCGCGCGGTAGTCGCCCGAATCTGCGCTGTTATTGGCAAATAATTTGAAAACATCCCCATTCCCTTGCCACTCTGGGGTCAAATGTACACATGTGTGCATGTATTTGTGCGTCTATCACTTATTTCTGGCGCTGGCGCCAACGTCGTTGCTGCTGCGCGTCACTAGTGGCCCCCGGTGACACGACTGATAAGCTAAGACACAACAAATATGTATTTGGCGCTATGAGCACGTATATATGTACATATGTATGTGCATATGTAAATGCATGCAAAAGTGTTACTAATATTGCATTTGAAAAAAAAACATATGTATGTTTGTAAACGGGTGTACAATTACGTTTTTTACATACTTCGGGCTTGAATGCTTAGCAGCTTAAGCATGATTCATTTATAAGGCTTAATTGCTCAATCGCTGTGTACTTTATAATGATTGTCGATTGCTTTTGTTGGCATTGCATACATTATTGAACTGTAAGCGGGTATAATACTGATGCAGACTGAAAAAAATGTGTGGCAAAAAAAACTTAAAAAGTAAAAATTACAAATATGTATACTTTTCGTAATCTCATTTAAGTACAGTGGCGGTCAATATATTAAAAAAAGAAATGTTCAAGTTTCAAGTTTTTTTTTTTTAATTTGGAGAAATTTGAAAATTTTTAGAATTTATCTTTGTATTTGAAATCA